AATTTAGATATTCATTATCCGTAATGTCGCGCAAATATCAGTTACACATTGACTATGAAAACTAATTTACAAGTAGAATATTGCATAATAAATCAATGATATTTTTATTATGATATCCATCCATGCATTCTTTACCTTTGTTTGAGTAAAATATTTTTTATTTTTTGTTTACCTTTTCTACCCCAAGGTTTTGTACCCAAATCACGTATATAAATAATCACTGCTTTAGTAAAAGCACTCGTTGATTGTATTTCTAGTTAATCTTTGACCATTTTTATTTTGAGATCAGCAAGGCTACTGATGTCTTCAAAAGCAAAAAGATTTGACACTTCTTAAAACAATGATTTCATAGCCCCTTGTGTTTGAACCTTATAAAAACATCACCAATTCATTTATTTTCGGTAAAAAAAAAAAAAAATCAAATTACAAACCTTTCAATAATCACGATTTTATTTGTTTAAAAAAACAAAATAAATCAGATAATTGGTGAATGATTTCATCAAAAAGAAAATGTTTACTTTCCTTTTGCAGGTTTTTATGTTAATTGAACTCTTTTTTGGTTTCTTGCCCCATCATAAAACCAACTATGTAATATTATAAGTCAAAAAATAGATTAAGTAATAGAGCCAAGAAGAAGCCAATTCAAAAATAAATAAATCAAACCTATTGGTAATAAAAATATTAACAAGAGATTGAAAATCTATGAATCCTGATTTTCATTAGTGAAGTGGCCATTGAAATTCGCAAGTTACATGAAGAGTTGCTGCTTCTACTCTTATGAAAAACTGATCCAAGATGAAAAGCATTAGAAGCAATCCAACAGTGGATTGATAGGGAAAAGAAGTAAGAGGTGGAGAGTGAAGATGACGAAGATAATGAAAACAAAGAGGATACAAATATTAATAATAATATAATCAATAATATTAATAACGTTTTTGTAATCAATTTTTTAACTTGTACTTTTATGTTTAAATTCCAAGTCATGTGCTGAGAGTTGTAACTCGTTTGCTATTGGTCAAATTTAACAATTAATCAATCGTGTGATTTA